AAAAAAAAAAAAAAAAAAAAAAAAAAAAAAAAAAAAAACTAAAACTAAAACCAAAAACACAAAAAAAGAGTAAAACCCCACTTTTTATTTGCTTGGTTGGACTAAGTACAACTATTACCGCACTAGTGCATGTAGTTGTAAGCATTTTGTATGCGGTTTTGTGTTGTGAACAATTAAACAGAAAGTGTTCTGAAAATTAATTGAAATATTTTCAATGTGTATGAGTTCAAACTTTAATTGAATACGAAATTGATTTTCTTCAAAACAATAAGGCTGGATGCCATAAACGTTTGGCTTCATATGAAAAAAAAATAAAAATAAAAATGCTTTAGAAACAATTTTTCTCCTGATTAGTACAGGGTGGCCCCATAATTAATGCAAAACAACGCGGATATAACGATTTAACTCGTTAGCAATCCCCCGGAAAGATATTAACTATAAAACTTTAGGAAAATAAATCAATCAATCAATCAATCTATCAATCTATAGCACAAAACAGTCAAAGAACTTTGCATAAAGTATTTCTGCGAGTCAACAAACATTAAATCGGCCTCCCGATCAAGAAATTTTCTGCCATGTATTCTCTTAAAATATTTGCATCTTCTTCATGCTTACAAACTTTCATTGATTTAAGAATTGCAACCCAATGAGCATGCACAGCGATCCAAGTTCATTGCGAATGGCTCAATGGAACAATGAAACAACAAGTGTGGAATACACTGTTCATAGCTATCGATATCGAATAAATTCGAGAGATTTTACAGCTGTCGATAAAGTCTGCCCTTTTCTTATTATCAAACGACACGCCTTTCGATCGTAAAATTACTATCGAGCCACATGTCAGCAACATTTTTCTTCAATCGATACAAAGTGCATAATTTTCAATTAAAAGACGGTGGCATCTAACAAAGTTACTTCTTGCATTAATTTTTGGAATACGTTGTACATGTGTCTTAACAATTTTATTGTTTTATCCCGAAAATTTTTTGAATTGATTCCTCAAGGAAAGGATTGTAAAAAATTTTTTTTACTGCGAAATGTACAGTATCGGAAATTGTTTGATCGATACTTTACGAGAAATCTATCAGTGCAGCCATCTACCGAAAAAATAATGGATTTATTTTTCCCCAAACTAATATATTATTACAGGTCACGTCACTTGTGATGCAAATATATATTAAGTTTCGGCGAATGTATGCGAGAGATCTATCTTTTACTAAACTTTTCTGTCTGTCCATCCACTATTTTTGTGTTCAAACCACAGATCGTAATTTTTAAGAGATTTTTAATAAATTTTAAACGCGTTACGTTCCAAGGATTAACGCTATTCAAAATGATTCGAACTAACTACGCTAGACGAAGTGATTTGCAAAGCATTTGATGGTGGGCCGTGATTCTCTACAAAGTTTTTACCGTGTTCCAATAATATAATACTATTTTCTGGTGTCTATATATGTAAAGCGAGAAACAACGATCTTTTTTTTTTTTTTTTTTTTTTTTTTTTTTTTTTTAGCAACCAACTGTGTGTGACGGGGAGAAATCCAATCTTCAGTTTAAATGTTTTTAAATGTTTTAGAAATTCACAAATTTGATGAGTTTGTAAGTTTTCTTTTCTTTTTTTTTTTTTTTGCTCTTCTTTTTCTTATTTCAATCGCAATTGCGATCAATTTTTTTTATATTAGCATAGAAAACAATTTGCTGTAACTGTATTCGATCGGTATATGTAAGCGAGTTTGTTTTTTTTTTTTTTTTTTTTTTTTCATTTTTTTAATGACAGTACTTACGATCTTACTCTCGGCATCGGTGGATATATAAATGAGGGTCGATGAGTTCGTTTAATTGCTGGCAGCACTGGTAAATTACTTAACTGACTAGAATGATACATCAATGCCAAATGATTGGCGGGGCGATCATCACCCGTTAATTGCTGTTGGGACGAACTACCCGGCGATGAGGGTCCCGAACCATTGCCATTATCATCGCCACCACCCCCGCATACGACACCAGTTAAATTGGATTCATCGATAGTGACACGATGTTGGGAGCCCGAATCGCGTAAGCGACCAGATAGCTTAGCAGGCGACACGGTAACTGTGTCTGTAGTTATTAATAAACTGTACGATGTTGTTGTTACTGGCGGCGGCGGTGGTGCCGATGGTGGTGGTGGTGATGAACGTCTCAAAATGCTCTCATCGCCGCTGCTGCTAGGAGCGCGAACATGACGCCCTTCTTGCAGTAAACTTGAACTGGTATATGATGCTGGCACCGTAGGTGTAGGCACCGGGACCACACCATGTGAATGTGTATGATGATTCTGATGATGTGGATGTTGAAATTGATGTGGCAAATGATAATGATGATGACTGCTTATCTGATGGCGTGCTACCGGGAATTTTTGTAACACTGTCACCTGCTGCTGTTGCTGCTGCTGCTGCTGCTGCTGCTGCTGTTCGTCTTGATATGAAATAGCAGTAGTAGTAGTGGCAGTAGCCGAAACAGATGAAGATGTGGAGGGTAATGATTCGGTGATAGTGCTGCAAGTTGAATTTGAGTGAGAAATTTTCATTACGAAATACATAAAAATAAAAAAATTAACCAAAACACAAAAACAAAAGCACTTTGATGCTGAACCAAAAAATAAAAAAAAATCGTATTATTATTGAAAATGCGCCCGATTATATCTACGTCCAATTTGTGCATTAAATTAATAACAAATGCTTTTTTTTTTCTTAAATATCACACGTTACACAGAAAGCGTAACGGCATGGACCTCATAGAAAAACACAGAAAAAAAAAAAAAAAAAAAAAGAATAAGAGAAAAAAATACAGAAAAACATAAAGAAAGCCAGATTCTTTCAATTGAATAATTGAGCACAATGCCATGAAAGAAAACAAAATTAAAGTCGGTGAATGTGAGGTGTATATGTGCAGGAATATGACATATATGTTCAGTTCAAGTAGAAACTATTATCACATTAATATTAATATGGTGTCACTTTACACATAAAGCGCAGTCTTTAAATTAATATTTCCCCTGAGTATTTTTCGTATCTTTTGCTTATCTCTTTTTAACAGTGCACATCATTTTTTTTTTTTTTACTTTTACATACTTTTGCTTTTTTTTATGCCGTTTATATAGCTGCACTTAAATTATAGGTTAACTTCAGCTTAAAAAAAGGACTTTTTTTCAATGCAGTGCGCAAGGGTATATTATATATATCATGTCGTTGTTGGCATCCGAACTTAACCTAAAAGTGCATACACGTATTAGTGTCGATTGAATTCCGTTTCATTTCTCTTCCACTCTACTATTAGTGCTCTTATGAACTTAATTATGAACATCTCAAGTCGCTTGAGCCAATTTTATTATGATGAATTGTGACCCAAATAATAATGCTCTGGATATCTAAGCATTATATATAGCATCACTAAGCAGATAGAATTTTTGTTTAAGGTGCTTGGGAGAAGACCAAGGAAGTATTAAAAAGCCTTAAAATTTTCACCACTATCTACTATAATCTATGATTCGGACAAATCCAACTTTAACGTTAAAGCCTATACACTCGCATGCTTTACAATTACATTTTCTCTGTATAATCCCGATACTTCATAAATGGCACACAATTTATGTTTGTATTTATTGTACATCCGCAAAGCATACTGCGGATGTCAAGTGGTTACTAAGTTTGAATGTAGGAGACCCTCTTTTTTCTGTGCATTTACATTATGAAAATATAATGCATACAGATACACTTAACAAAATGATATAAAAATTTTTAGTTATTTCGATTGAAGGAAATCAAAAAAAAAAAAAAATTCTTTCTTTTCTTATTAGTGAAATTAAGAATAGATTATTTGATTATAGGAAAGCTAATGACACCCGAATTCAATATATATCTGATTGATCATTATTCAAGATGAAACTGAATACGATATTATTGATATGTTGATTTTGGATTTATTGGACATCCGATAGCCATTTTGAAATGAAAAACCCATAGCTAACCTAACATTCGCAATTAAATTATTTTAAGCTCTTAAGATGGTAAAGTCTAGCCTGGTAATGGCAGCTTTTAAAATCTTGAACTTGCTGGTATGGTGTCACAGCAACCCCCGACTCAAATGTAGTGCAAATATCACGTCTTGTACAACATAAGTATTATTAAGCAGAAATTCAACGTAGTAGCATATAATTACTGCTGCCACTATATATGCTATGGCATTATCAAGAGCCTATATACCATGTATCATCACGTAGAAATTTTTTCATTTATAATTCCTTAATTGTAGCGTACACGTACTGCTAAAGAAGAATTTTGTTATTACTATTGACTGACTAGCGTACATACCATTAATACTACGGTATTCATTACTTTAGTAAATATCTAATTCGGCTTCGAGCCTCCAGCTTTAGGTTTCTTATGAATCCCGTCATATTCTTTGATTCGGAGCACAATTGTAATTCGGAGTAGTTGCAGTATTTAATTAATTTATCATAGGCATTTCTTCCTTCTCTTGCTACGTAGATATAATATAATGTAAAGTTTCCACTTCTCTCTCTCTCTCTCTCATACCACTAAATACACTCTCATTATATAATATTTAGTTGAAATAATTTCAGAGTAGCAATGCTGTCGACCTACTATATAATAAAAGAATCTCGAGATGACATTCCTTCGAATAAATGGCATTCGCATCTAGCCTAATGCCAAAAAAGAAAGAAGAAGAAAAATGTCTATTGGAATCACGTAGCAACAAACTCTGTAGACAATAATTGTAAAACGTCACTTTAGTTTTTCCAGTGCATTATTGTCTGGTTATTTTTTTTTTTTTTTTTTTTTTTTTTTTTTAACGATAAATTTAACAATTTTAACTGTGTGTAAGCTTTAAATCAGCGAAACAGGTCATCAGTTAAAGTTCAAGTGTTTTTCCTCTTCTATGTTTGTTTTATACATTATTTGCTTGGCAAAGCAAAATGTAAATTATACGGATTAAATACCTATGAAAGCTTAACGTAAACTAAATCAAAAGTAGAACGCGCAACGAGTATCATATATATTACCAATAAATTTAAAACTTTAGTAAAATAAAATGAAAATGTTATTATAAAAAAAAAAAAAAAAAAAAAAAAAAATACAGAAAACAAAAGTGCTCTCAGATTTTGTCGCATAGGCTGGTGGGCGTTATAGGTGTGTCCTTTGAAAAGTTTCGTTGATTTTCAAAGTCTTTTGCAAATTTGCACGCGATAGCTTCATTTTTTCGAACAAGAGAATATTTACCACAGGCACTGCACAGTTGGGCCGACGGACAGATGAACAGACGAACATGCTTAAGTGCATTGCGAATTTGAAACTGACTAAGAATTCATGTGAGGAAGTGAGGAAATGTACCGACTTCATGGCTGATCTTGGAATGCTTGTCTGAAAAAAAGGAAAAATTCAAATCGCTCGCTATTTTTATACCATACATCATTTGCATTACAAGGTTATAGGAAGTTTGTTGCGAATGGATGCAAAACCCGGAATGGCATCAGACAGATCGACCTTTTATTATGCTGATCGATTCAAAATCGGTTTCCAAAGTACCTCTGTCTATAGATTAAAATTCAGAAACATTTTCTAATTTGATCTGAATTTCTCTGTCTGTCTATCTATCCGTTCGTCCCGTATTAACAGATCCCAATTTTTGAAATATTTTCATGAAATTCCGTGCACCAATATGTTTCGGCGCAAGGAGTCGCTCTATTAAAAATGATTCAGATCGGACAACTCTTTTGACCACCTTCCGTATAACGCCCTATTTTAAAAAGTCCTTGTATGGGAAAAAATTACAGCTTTTCAACTTTCTTGACGAAAGTCGCAGGATAACAGATAGTACTTTGAAATTCTTAGTTGGTATGAAAAATTTCGTTCGGCTAGGGCAAGATCTGCCATGACTAGTAAAAGCCCATCAGAAAAAAATTAAACTTTTTTTTTTTTAAATTTACAGCGGCCTAGTTACCCTCTTCTAAGATCGTATCACCTTTATTTAATATTACTAATCGTTTCCATATGAATTTCTCGGTGAGATTGGTAAACTAGAGTTTTGTTTTTCTTTTTTAATATGACCAAGCAGTCACGAATGGTAGTCCTCTATACGTGCAATACGGTTACGGCTAGAAAGAGATAAGGGAAGAAAAGAAAGAGGAAGGCGGTTGGAGTCTAGCGGGTGTGCACTTAATCGGTAAATGCGTCTGAGCACTCAGTATAGCTATTACCAAAGAAAACTCTGCCGCACTGAGATTTGAACCTGTGAACTCTGACTTGGCAGTCGTGATTTTACCTACTCGGCTACTTGGGGGGTTTAGCCCACGGATGAAACCTGTTGAAAGGGATTCCGTGGGAATATTTATACAGCTTCTCTTCTAATTTTTTACAAAAGGACTTTAGAAGAAAAAAAATTTGCCCCTTTCTCGGCAAAAATCGTTGAGAAATAAAATTTCGTAGTATATTAAATTGAGACGAAATATTTGAATCGAATGGGCCAATATATTTGATCCGGTCGAATATAATCCCTTTGTCGAAACTTATGCAAACAATACTAACAACGCGATCCAAGTTGTAATATTTTACGATATAATTTCATACAAACATTAATTAATTGTATTAAGCTTGCATCACTTGAGCTTATATTTTGAGGCGTTGCTTATGCAACGTAAACCTTTACATAACAACAAATTCTAATTTATTGTACTTTATGACGAAATTAGGTGAAGAATACTAACATCTTGATGACGAAAAAAAAATTAATTTTCCCTTTAATGAGAAGTAAGCACTCCATTAGCCTTAGTATTAGATCGGATTCGAGAACTTGAACTTGGAGCAATAACTTGGCAGACAATTTTACAAAAGGATTTGCATTTAGATTCATTCGAAATTCGATTGGTATAACAGCCGTATATGCTATATATTAGATCTTGTAAGTAACGTAATAATCCTTTCAGCCAACATACCTTATATATGTATATGTGTATGCATATATTTCAAGCGATTGATAGAAAATATTTGCAACAAGATTAGTCGTTTTTCTTAGTCGTTCTCATTGACGCCGCCTTTTTTCTTTAGTTTTTAAATAAAATAATAATAATTCGTACATTCACATATTGTATGGATTTAGAGAAATGAAAACATGTAAAGAAAATGTATATATATATATATATTTTTTTTTTATTTTATCATTGCTTGGTAAAACAAAAGGATCGCTTTTTCCTTATATACGGCATTTTGCCAGCCCGCAGAACTTGTGGAACTGAAATGTAATTATATCATCATAATAACATACTATAATTTTTAATTTTTCAGATAGTGTAAGCGCATCGTTATAGCGCTAGCGGTAGCTTAAAAGCTACTTGAGAGATATTTCTTCCTACACGCGCGCAAACATCTACTAATGTACATGAAATTAATAGTGAAGTGCAAAATACATGATAATAGTATTTGTGCGAATGAGACGCACACTCGCCCATCCATATATGCATAGAACGTGATAACGTAGC